AATCTAAGTGTAATAGAGAAATTTTATGAATCATATTCCAACCTTCAAACTCGAGCCTTTACAAAAAGCATCAAATGTTTCTTTAACTTGGACCACTAAATCTCTTGTAGGAAGAATAATCAGAACTCTTAAGCGAGTTACAATACGCCTTGAGAGAATCTATATATCATTATGCGATAATTTCATCAGTCGATACAAAATATTTATTTACAAAACAGAAAGATGAAGTTCGCATGATACAAACATCAATTATTGGTAGCACGTATGCCAGGGTTTTGCCGCTTCCCGTCGGTGCAGATACACAAATATCGACAGGTGATTTATGAGTATCTGATAGATTTCGTGAGTGTATCAACAGTGGAATAACTGCCGTTTGTACTGCAGATACGCAAGGAAAACATCAATTGATGAACTGATAATAATGATAGTTATTTCTTCGATTATAAATGTCGATAAGTAATAGAACCTGCAAAACACTCCTGAATTCCAAGTGCTTTACAACGTTTAATCAATCTCTCTGATAAGCCAATAGATGGATCATCAATTGTTTTCGTTGAATCTGACTCAACAATGGTTGGATTAGCCAACCAGTCAGGTATACCCAACGATTTAACGACCGCAATCTCTTGTGGTGTTTGCTTTGGTCTCTCGAATGTTGGAAACGCTAGTAACACAGGAACGTTTTTTGTAATTTTCACCCGTTGTTGCAAGGATAAATCATCATGTGTATTTTTTGATATATTTTTCGATAATTTTTCGGTGGAAGCAACCTTTTGGATAGAGTCATCCTTTTTTTCGGTGGAAGCAACCTTTTGGATAAAGTCATCCTTTTTTTCGGTGGAAGCAACCTTTTGGATAGAGTCATCCTTTTTTTCGGTGGAAGCAACCTTTTGGATAAAGTCATCCTTTTTTTCGGTGGAAGCAACCTTTTGGATAGAATCATCCTTTTTTTCGGTGGAAGCAACCTTATGGATAAAGTCATCCTTTTTTTTGGTGGAAGCAACCTTTTGGATAGAGTCATCCTTTCCACTTACTTCCTTTTTTATGGGTCGTTTTCTTTTAAGCTGAATACGTTCATTGATCTTTGATAACCTCTCAGTGCTCACAGTAGAAGCATCCTGAAACGGATCTTGTTCAATTTCGTATCTTTGTATTTGGAACATTACGAACAACGGATTGATTGAGTCGTAGTGGCAGAAGAGGTGGCTAGAGGTCGAATTCAAATTCGAATTCGTATTTATGTTCGAATTTAAATACAAAATGCTGAATCTTTAAATCCGGTAATGTTATATCAGAAACGTTACAAAGTCGCATTCACTTAACAAATGGAAGGTTATAAGTTTACCTTTGGGACGCAGAATACGCGAAGATGGATGTTACTTAAGTAAAAGTTTATCTGTTATCATTGTGTCACACTAACAGTTATTGGACAATCATAATGATAAAAGATCGGGAAAACTTATCTTTCGTTACTTAACATACGTAAAATGCGCGAAGAAACAAAGGTTTGTTTCCTATAAATATTTTTCAAGTACAAGGTTTAAAGATATCCCGTTTATTTCGTATTTATTTCTTATTTTCTTTGTTGTATAGGAAAAAATAATAAAAGCAATAGAAATCGCCAAAACAATTGTGCATTGGGGTTTTATTCCGTTTATATTATATCTTGGTAAAATTTATTCTATTCATTCTAATAGTGCTTTTAAAAGACGAGATTTCTCATTTATTTTAATATAACAGGGTTTACCAGAAGTAATCCAAAACCTTCTCTGATCAGGTAAACCAGCTGAATGAATTATTTGCACTTTTTTACATTTAGTAATTCACATTTTTTTTTTATTCGCTTCAGAATGATCCCTTTAGCAGCTTAACCACTACAATAATATGTTTTCGGTATCTGATTAACAATAAAAGTACCATTTATTTTGCAGTGTATAATGATAACGATAAATTCGATGAATTTTTTCATCTCGATATACTGTGTACTACTTAATGGCCTTTATTAAAATAATTTTCTTTTAACGTTAATACAGTAATCTTTAAATGTAAATAATTTTTGTTAAATTTTTTGGGAAATTCCTTTTACCGCTACCGTAAACCGCTGCATCTAATTCCCGGATTGAGTTCTTGTATTTATATAAAAGAAAAATTTTAAATAGCGATAACGATAGGTCCAGACGAAAATGGTCGTAGAAGAAGTTCGTTTTGATTGGTTGTTGAGATACCCGGAAAAATTGTCGGATAGAGTACCGGCTAATCCCGGATAAAAATTTTACTACTCGCAAACTTTTAAAAAATCAATAAATAATGCTCTAAAAAACATATTATAATTTGGCAAAAAGACAATAGAGACCCGTCTCCATGACGACCCTACATATAGCAGCCAATCGTATTTAGGGTTCAAAATTTTTCTTTTGTATTTTTTATTATAAAAGTTATAAAATTTGTAAAAAAATTTTATTGGGCGATAATAAGCAATATATTATATAGTCACATGCTCGATTTTGATTGGCCATAAACTAATGCCTTTTAATTTTTTTTTTTTTTTTTTTTTTTTTGGTATAGTAGATGCAATAATATTTTTAAAAAATTTTTTGTAACTATATAATATTTTTTAAAGAATTTTATAGTTAGCAAAATATTTTTAGTATTTACTAAGCTAATTTGAATAAGTTAGGGCAATGTCATTTATTACTTGATTTTTTTTTATCAGAAGTTTATTTATCTTCTCCCTCTTAATATATATTTTGATCAGGTTTTTATATACTATACAGTTAAAATATATTTCTAATTGTTTATCAATGACCTGCACTTTATTTAGAAATGATCAGCAGTTAGATGATCTTAAACAACTTTTAACACAGTTGGGAGACCAAATAATAATCTGCAGTAACTCAAAACATTTAGACATCTTTCATATAGAGGTAAAAATGCAAAATGGTTCTAGGTAATAAAAGAAACAGTAATTGAAAATAAAGAAGGCAGGACTGTAAAGACAGAGTATAAAATAGAAGGTTCCAGTTCTTGGATGCTTTAAATCTCTCCAGACCTATTAGAAGCAGATGGAAGAAAGAAGAAATAGGTTCTGATAAGAGCATCAGAAACAGCAGAAAATGAAACTCTATTGGTCTAAAAAATCATAGGTAAATTAAAGAAAAATGGTTTACAGAATATTGAAATTAAATATAGTTCCAAGTACAAAAAGTACAATAATAGAAAGATGCAAAGACTGTGAACTTGATTAGAAAAAAGAAGAGAATTCTTGTAAAAGCCATATAAGTAAAAGAGAATTCAAGGCTTTATAACAAGATTTGTCAACAAACGAAAGTTCTAAAGATTAATTAAGAAATAATACAGTTGATATAGGTCTTTTTCAAATTGAAGATACTAAAAGGTAAGAAGTGGTTCAATAAATTAAAATCTATGATCTAAATGTAGAAATCATTAAGAAATAACAAATTAGTTAAAAAATACAGAACTTTCTTATAGAAAAAACAGAAAATTACAAGTATGCTCTTTAATATAGTTCAAATTTTATACTGACAGATCTTTAAGAAAAGGCGAGAGACAACTCCAATCAAAGACAAACAAAAGAGCTAGTTGGATATTAGTTAATGAAGAAGAGAGAGAAGTAATTGACAAAGGATATTTTGAAGCAAGAAATTGGTCATCTTTAATAAAAGCAGAATTACTTAAAATCTGGTATGTGTTGCTTATTACACCTAGCAAAAAGAAGGTCAAAATTTATACAGATAACACAGTAGTTATAAGTAAGGTAAAAAGAAAGAAACAAAATAGACGGGCAAGACAATAGCTTAAAGAAGAGAATTATGATCTAATAAAATATATTCTAAATATAGTTAGAATTAGAAAAAGTTAAAGGTTATAATAATAAAAAATATAATGATAGAGCAAATAAATTAGTAAAATTAGAATCTAGAATAGAAAACAAAGATGAAATTATAGAAAACCTTCTTAGAAGTTGAACGTTACTTTATACTAAAAAGAGACAATAGTAGAAGATCTCATTAGAGAGTTTTTAACCTCAAAACATAAGCAGAATGTAAATTTTCTTTAGCAGTAAAGAAGTTACTGTAGAATCTGAAGATAGTGTACAAACCCGATACTGGCCCATTTTATAAAAAAAGATTAGAAATCAAAGTGGTATACGAAATACAAGTTTAAGGAAAAATATATATTTAGGTGTATTAGTCAAGTATTTATATAAAAAACTTCTAATACTAAAAATATTGTCAGTCAGAAAACCAGAATTATACAATAGCTTAACATATATAATATGTAAAAAAAATGAAAAAGAAAACCAGAAACACCTGATAACATATGAAAAGTATAAAGTAAAATGAAAAGAAGCAGAGCAATTAACCTTGAACTTGGCCTAGACAGCTTTATCAGAAAAATCTCATAGCTATCTTGACAAAGTACAACTCAAGAAGACTTTGTAGAACATATTAGAAAAAAAAAAAAGAAATTAGGGCCAGCATATTCAAAAGATTGATCAAAGAAGAAGTTGTGAAAAGAATCTTCAAAGTAGTAGAAAACTTGAAAAAACTTAGAAGTTATTTAGATATAGCAATAAACTTAGCTTGAAATTATTTTTATAAAAATATCTAGAAACCAAGATATGCATATATAAATAATTGAGAAAGAAAAAAAAATGTCTAAAAGAAAAAAAAAAACCACAATTTAGAGAAATCGAATTTTAGCAATAAAGAGAAAGAATTGACTCTAGTAGAAGGAAGTAGTTAAGATCAAACTAAGGGAAAGTTAAAAAAAAAACAATAAAAATAAAGAGAAAGAAGCAAAGAAAAAAGAAAGCACTTAGTTTGAGACTATAAAGAATTTTATTAGAAATAAAATGAAACTATTTTAATATAGTTTCACAAACTAGCTTGATGCAGCCTTCTAGTGCTAGCAAAATGCCTCATTTGGTGAGACAAACTATCTCCAGATTTGTAGTTTAAATAGTTAAATATATGTATATATTGTTACAGGGTTGTAGCCTTCTTAGTAAAATACAACCAAGTAACAAGGTCACCTGGTATAGTGATTGACTATTGCAAATATATATGGGGTGAAGGTGTAGTTGTTCACTTAACTACACAGCAGCAGGCAAACGGTTTGAGATAGTAACAGTATATAAAATAGCTTTATTTAATACAAGAATGATAATAAGTCTTGCCTGTAGAAATTACCCTAAAGAGAGAATATCACACTTTACAAGATAAGAAGGGTTAAAGGATATCAGAGTCTAAGCGAAGTGTAGGAACTTAAGAATTGGCAGGAAGAGGAAATGGCACCCTTTATATATCTTTTTACCCACAAGGAGGATACACAATGCACAGTATATGAGTAACACTTGGCAGGTGAAGAAGGTGAACTTGTGTAAGGGAAAGTAGGGGATCGTGTTGGGTAAAGAAGGTGATTGTGTTAGATGAAGTAGAGGACATATAAACATTACTCATCATGTTTATATTTATTTACATCTCATGTGGGGAAATTAGAGGACTTTGCTGCACAGTACTTTGTGTTTAAAACACTTAGGACTTGTGCAGGGGAATTAGATATTCGTGCGGGGGAAGAAGGTGTTCGTGCAGGGGAAGAAGGTGTTCGTGCAGGGGAAGAAGGTGAACTTGTGTTACTTTCTAGTGTAACACTTTTGTATAATCTAAAGCAGTGTTGTCAATGGACATGGACATGGACATGGACTGTCCATGGACATAGACGTCCATGGACATGGACATATAAAAATATGGATGTCCATGTCCATGAACATATAAAAATACGGACATGTCCATGTCTATGGACATTGAACATTGTGTCCATGGACTGTCCATGTCCAATAATTTGCTTGGACATATGTCCATGTACAACACTGATCTAAAGTATCCTTTTGTATAACCTTGTGTCACCTGAGGTCATGTGAGGTCATGTGACTGCGCCACACTTCCAATAGCCAATTAGAATATTCCTATATAATTACTATAAAATATACTATCTAAATATAATAACTAATATATAATAATAAATACTATTTTAACTAAATATATAAAAATACAAGTATCGAATATTTATAACTAAAATAACTAAGTAAAATCTAACCTAAAAATCTACTTTGTAACAATATATATATGCTTTGATCTAATAAAGATACTAGCAAGGCTGCCAATATGATAAAAAATAAAATAAAATAAAATAAAATAAATACTGTAGTCTAATATAGTAAGTAAATTTTAAATATATTTAGTATTAAAAAAATATATAAAAAGATTTATCTAATAATAAAATATCAATACTTTTATAATAATAATAAAAACATTAAAATAGTTTAATATATATAGTATATATACTACTATATATATAGTTTATATTTAACTAGATATTTTTAACTCATGCCAGTGGTTAAGAATAAACAGTATGCTATATTTCAAAAACTGCATTATAAAACAGGGGTTGGGTAGGTTAAGTAAAATTTCAGAAAACTTTATAAAAACTAAAATTGAAATCTAATATCCAATCTATATTATATTATTTAAAAAATTATTTTATATAAAAACCTCTATTTATCTTAAAAAACACACTAACTTTTAATAGAGGTGGTTATTTCTAACCAATAGTACAGAGAATAATAATTCTTTAAATAAAGCTAAATATAAAAAGATCAAATTATTTAAATAAAAAAAACTAATTATATAATATATAAAATATATTATTTACTTGGTTGTAAATTAAAAATATGCTAATTGGTTACAAGATTATTTGTAATTTTGAAAAACTTTTTTAAATTTTATATTATATTTGAATACAGAATTTTTGAAATGCTCTTGTAGTAAATCTAATAGCATAGTATAAGCTTGCCTAAACACAATAAAAAAAAAGAATGCCTCAGCTCAAAACATGCCTTCTGGAGCATGCCCAAAGTTTTCTCCATGCCCCAACCCTATTTAGCACAACACCTACATCCAACACACACTTTGAAAACTCGCTCGATATGTCAACAATGCATGTCACATGGCAGCTAACAAGCTCAAAACAGAACAACCACTTGGGACCAGCACTACAACAACATAGATTGGATAAGCACTATCAAATACCTAAGCATTGACATTGTCCCAAACAGCAGGAGCACCACCCCACAATTAAAGCATTCAAGATCAAATTAATGCTAAGCAAACTACCCACATTACAAACCCTTCACAAACGAGAACCACTACAATATCCGGACCCCACCTGCAGAAGACACAATGCGACGGATATTTCGCCTAGCTAATACAACCTGACATCACAAGCAATATACACAACCCACAGCATTCATACTATTATCACAAATGCTCCATTCATACCACCAGATCCTGAAACGCAAAATTCATATTTTACAAGGCTTCATTTCCAAAAAGACAACGATAAAACAACCAACCAAATATATTCATTCCAATACTACACAAAACGATTAGAGTCCACGATGTCACATGATCAACACCACAATAACGTAAAAACGAACAATACACAAGAGATCCATATCAAAAAACTTGAGAGAACAAACAGAAAATTTACTCAATAGACAGAACAATTCATCATGTACAATATATCTCCAGACAATATAGCATACTACATAGACTAGGTGGATCCTCTAGCAGAGCCCAGACCGAGGGTAAAATAGCCCTAATATCAAATTTTAGCAGATAAAAATTAATTCTCATAATGTATTATAAAACAATCCTAACAATCCTGCTTGATCACTAAATCACTCAGAAGTTCTTAATTCGGTTCTTGAGTTTGATATTATTAATTGAAAATGGGACATATATTTTGGATTTGATTATTAATCCAAATGAAACAGAGATCCCGATTCCCAAACCAAAATTATGTAATAATGTCATTGTTCAAAAAAGGGTGGGATGCAATCCTAATTGTGAGATTTACTACTATCAATATGGTGATTATCACGAGTGAAAAAAGTATCATAAGCAAGATAAATAGCGAAAGCACCAAGACCCCAGGTGAAACCCGGCCAAAGGTGTCTTATCGAATGACGAAAAGTAAATGGCGGTTGATTTCTCCAAGCTTCACGACGAGCCCAAGGGTCACGTATTTTTTCGGGCATTTTGATTTTAGAAATTACGCGTTTATGTAAGTCGAGGTTTGGAAGTCAAAGCTTCTATTGATGAATTTTGAATAAAATGAATATATAATCTATTAGAGATTATCTTTGACAAGTGCTTACAATTGTATTTATATTGTTTAGAGTAACATTTCATCAATGAAAAGTAACCAAGACTGTTTCTATCCTTCAGAGAAGATTCAACACTTACGATACAACAGAACTAAGAAACCACAACAAACAATATCTGCGTAAAATTTTTACCTATATATATATATATATATATACTATGCGAGATCAACCTAGGGGTAGTGATACAAATCGAAAATCGATTAATCGAAAAGTTGGCCAACTTGGTAAAACTTTTGTAGCGACTAATCGTTGAAGTTAAATGATTATCACTTTAGAAAAATTTTTTTTTAGCCAATCAAATTAATACTACGGACGCAAAGTTTTTATTTGTTAGTTAGCCATTTTCAAATTTTGATTGGTTAGCATTACTTTTTTTGCGGTACTGTAAAATTTCGATAATCGTTATCATTATCGTTATTATTATCGTTGTTAAAATAGACAATATGAAAAAACCCTCAAGAAAGCAACCAACTGTTGTTTCTAAAAAATTACAACGATCTAATCATTTAAGCAATAACAAAAAAGTATTAGCAAGTAATAAAAAAGCTTTTAAAAAATCTAACAAGAGCGTAATAAAAGAAATAAAAAAAGATAAAGTGAAAACCGAAAATAATGAAAAAGATACAGTAAAAACTGAAAATAATGAAAATACTACCTTACTGCCAAATTCCAAAAAAGTTTCTAATGGTAAGCAAGATATAGAATGTGATAAAAATTCGGATCAAGTCAAGGAGAAACCGATATCCGCTTCAAAGAAGAGAAAAAGATCTGGTAGGTTTTTTTTTTTAATTTAATTTTTTTTTTTTTTAAATATATATATTAATTTAATCAATGCTTAGATCCTGGACATGCCAAAGCATCTCTTGACAATCGGAGTCAAATTAATCGTAAGCTTGAACCGGAATACAGGTTAGATATCAAGAAACAATGGGAAATCGCTCGTCGAAAGAACATAACACCTGACGAGCGAAATAAATCCATCTCCCGTTTATTTGAGATGGTTCGAGGCAATGTGCCTGGACTTCTTTTTAAAAATGATACTTCTCGTGTCATAGAAACCTGCCTAAAATATGGTACTAAAGAACAGAGAAATATAATAGCAAGTGAATTAGAGGGTCATTTGCTTGAAGCTTCAAAAAATAAGTATGCAAAATATATCGTGTGTAAGCTAATGAACTTTTGGTAAGTTGTTCTCTTAATATTTAATGATTTATCTTTAAAGCTTCATGTAACTAATTATGTTCTTTAGTCCAGAATACCGGAGTAAAATTTTAACCGAATTTAAAGGCCAAGTTAAAAAATTATTTATTCATACGGAGGCACGTAATGTTCTTCTTGAAGCTTATGAGCTTTCTAACGTAAAGCAACGATCGTCCTTATTAGAAGAATTTTATGGTCCGGAATTCACTCTATTCAAGGTATAATAAATAAATAAATAAAAATAAAAAATTTTTTTATATATTCATTTAAAAAAATTTTTCACTTGTTCTCATCTTACGTTTGTTGGTTTAGAGAACTGAAAATCTAAATATTAAAGATTTGATTGCTGAAGATCCTTCTAATAAAGACAAAGTTCTTAAAAACCTTTTTCAAGCTATTCAATATCTAATAAAAAAGCCAGAATCATTGAATTACATAATTATGCACCGAATTCTGTTAGAATATTTTACCTATGCGGACGATTCCAAGATAAGAGAAGTAATAGAAGTGATTGGTGAACATGTTTCCATGTTTTTACATACACGAGAGGGTTCACAAGTTGCAATGCTATGTTTTTCTCACGGCGCTGTAAAGGTAATTTGTTTTCTAAATTTTACTATTCTTTAAAATTTTTATTTATATTCTTTTCACGTAGGATCGTAAGACTATGCTGAAATCCATGAAAGAATATGCTGCAAAGATATGTAAGGAAGAGTACGGATACTTGGTATTGTTAAGAGCATTTGATGTTGTCGATGATACTGTATCGGTCACCAAGTATATTATAGATGTAAGTATAAAACTAAGTTGTTTAAAAATTTATTTATACTCTATAGTTTTCTCTAAATAATTTTATTCCACTTAGCAAATAGTTAAACCAGGCGTGCTTAAAACAATAATGCAAGATAAATTTGGTCATCGTGTGATTTTATATCTTTTGACTGGAAGAGCAAAGTCTAAAATGTATTTAAGCTTTGAGACATTTCAATTACTTGAAAAGGATGATGAAATACGAGAAAAAACTAGGTTAATAATTATTATGTAGTTTATTTAATAATTCTTCTGTTTAAATTAATATCAATATTATATCTAACTATTGAATTTGAAATTTCTCTATAGTAAAAAAGATTCAACTGCTCGTTCAAATGAATTGCGAAAAGCTATATCCCCTGCATTAATTAATTATTCAAGAAAAAATATTGCAGAAATGCTTTCAAATACCTATATGACACAGATTTTTTGTGAGACACTACTTTGCGGTGATGCAGATATTGAAGAAAAACGATCAATATTAGAAAATATACCTCCTTTAATAGGAGAAACATCAAACGAAAATAACATTATGCTGACATATGCAAATCGATTCCTCAAAGTTTTGGTACAAGGCCAGTATCAAAGATTAGATAATGGGCAATCCGAAGATAAACGAGTCGAACTACATTTTGCACCATTATTATTTGACAGCATCAAAAAAGATATTATATTCTATGCGTGCAATGCTTCTGCATCATTCGTAATACTAGCTTTATTACAAGATAAAGAGACTAGATCAGAAGTTAGGAAGATTTTGATAAAGAATCGGGCAGAAATTGAACAAGCAGCTCTAAAAGATGTTAAATCTGGATCTAGATTTATTTTGAAGGAACTTGGTTGCGATGTTACTAGCTTGATAAAAACTTTAGATGATGAATCTAATGCCAAAACTAAGTCAAATAAGAGAAAACGAGAAAAAAAATAAATTAATAATTGATATATAAAGTTCTTTTTTTTTTAAAAAAAAAAAAATAAACTGAGCTTGTCTGAAAAATCAAGATTTAATGCTAGAATTCTAGGGTTTCGAAAATTTATGATTTACTGTTTTAAAATATACAGTACCGTACAACAAAAAACAACGGGAAATATCTTGATTCTATTAAATTTAAGATTTGCAGGTGTTTTTTTATTACCTCTCTTTGAATTTACTTCTTAATCATCAAGCTTTCGTTAAGAGATAAATTTTCTGAAAAAATTGTAGAATAATATTTGATTTCCAGGAAGTTCTAACACTATCATTATGATTTGACTTGGTAGATTTAAAATGTTTTTTCACATTATGAGGGATTATTTAAAGTCGTTTTGGCTAATCAGCGTGAATGTTATTGATTCAATCAATAGGATGTAACATCTTTTCTATGATATAATCATTATATTGCAGTAAATAAAACTTACCGTTATTTCTGGTGGATATTTTCCGTCATTCAAAATTTTCAGATTCATGTTACTATTCTGTATTAAGCACAGTTTGCATTAAATAACTATAGCATTCTCCTATATGCAATTTATTAAAAATTTTGTATTCACCTTAAAAGCTAAGTGATAAAACGTTGGGTGGCTTCTCTCGAACCCAGTCTGGTTCTTCATTAACATGACTAATCACATAATTTTTCAACGCAATGGAGCAGAAACACGTGATATCAGACGAATCAAATTATAGAATTTTGATGATCGCCGGCGAAGCAAAACAAGAAATAAAAACGAAAAACAAAAAACGGCAGTCTAAACCTACCTCGGGCAGGTTAATTAAAAATGTCTGGAAGGCAATTTTGCTTATATATAACTACCTAAAACCTAACCTAACCCCAATATAAGATGACCCTAACCCTAAAGTTAATTCAATAAAATATAAATTATAAGAATCTGTTTCGCTTTAGACGTATATATCAAAATTGGTCATTGTTACCAAAATGGGAAAATGGGTGGGAATTACTGATAAACAATGTACAGGCGGCAAAGTTGCTGACTAAAATATGAGTTTAGAACAAAATTTTTTGAATATGTAAATCACATGATCTTAAATTTTTTTATCTTAGATAGGCCGGACCAATTTAATTCTTCGTTTAACATAATCCCCCTTCAAAATTTTATGAAAAAAATATACATCACATTAACCAATCAAATCGCAGTATTAGCCTTTATATACTTCATATAGCATAGCGGGCTTTCATTCTGATTGGATGATCATAACCATATATGTTACTATTACATTTACCGATAATCTGACTTTAAATCGTTTTCTGGCCACAAGGAAGCATTTCTGAGTTACACCACAAATATTACAAGAAAGATATCGTTCTATTTAACCTATCTCTAAAGTAATTTGAAAAATGGCAAGGTAATTCGAAAATTAAATGAGAGCTACTTTTAAGCACTTTGTATAACGCTTTTACTATATATGTTATATAAAGCTTAAAAAAACGAACTTTCAAACCTTAGCACTGCGATTTTGAAGGCAAAGGTTTTTTTTTAAACTTGAAAATAAGCGTGATTTAGACAA